CGTTTGAGCTCTAAGGACAGTCATGAGAAGGAACAAAATGAGTTTAACAATAAGAAAATAAATGAAAGCATGACGATGTTTACATTGTCAACTGGGACTGTTCAGTATGCTGGGTGTAGTAGGAACTCAACATTGTTGAGTAGCTCTAGAGTTCTGTTGTAGTTTTCTCTTTTAGAATCACTAAGCAATAGTTCTGTCGTCATTTTTATATCCTTTATTTATATAACAGGTATGACCCAAATAAGTAAAAACCGCTTCTCAATAAAATTGTTAAAATATATAAATTTATAAAATAAAGTTCAACAGCCGGTTAGTCGATGTTGACGATAAACTTTCTGTAATATCCAAGGCATAGATTACACCTTTGTAATATACGTATTACCAGTTCTGTTTGCTTTTTGTTTTCGAGCTAGTTTTTTGACATGCACACAGACACACATCCTCCATTTTATGAACTTTATTTGCAAATATTTATATAAATTTGGTGACCTTTAAACAAGTATTACTTTCTTAAATTTGTAGTCGAAATTTGCCATGATCGCAAGTTAAAGTAAAAAAATCGAAACCTAATGAATAAGCAAAAGGAAACGATCCAAGAAGTTGTTTAGTAATCATAGACCATAAATATTATCATACAACTTTATTTTGATGGGAATTTATGGAGTCTGTAGAATAAAAAAATCATAGCATAATTCATATATTCTGAAAAATGTAAAATGAGGAACTTTAATATCCACTGGAACATCCAAAAATAGAATTATAACCATAAAACAAACGTAGCTTATAACTTATAATTATGAAACATAAACATCAAATTTTTGTGAAACTATAAGAATTTAAAACTTTTCAATTCCTCGGCAAAGTAAAGGAAAAAAAATACAATAAAAATAATGTAATGCTTTTCTTGTCTTTTTTGCTGAAAATGATAATTGATTTTATTTTGTTAACTCAAAATAAGATATGATTAAATATTTTTAAAATCATAGAATAAGTATGAAATATATAAAATATTTATTAAGAAGTTTATAATGTTAGTTATTTAACATTTTTTGCAGAACTCAATACTATTTTATTCGTTTAGAACATGTAAATCAAAACTAGCCTACGCAGTTGTAAAAACAAAATATTTTATCAACACAATACTTATAAAACAACACAATATTCACAGACATATTGATGAAAATCATTTACTAACTTATAGTTACATATGGCACCTAAATATAACTAACTAAATAAATAATATTTTGTAATACTGATATCTATTGTTTGAAAAATAAAATATATTGATAGTGGTTTCATTGTACTTAATGCAATCGGTGGACTAACGTGTTACTTATATATTATAATAATCATGGATTTATTTCTAAATTATGAATCATTGACCCTGCAGGGTAAAGGCAAGAAAAAAACAATATAAAAATTATAATTATAACTTTAAAAAATACAATAAGATTTTCTCAATTAAAATCTATTCATTATAGAATAATTGAAATATGTTTGATAAAATAAATATTTTTTAAATCCTTCATTGAATATTTATCTTTGAGAGTGTGATAAGCACTGCTTTCATTATACGTCAAGTGCTAATTTCATATAACGCAATATTAATTTTAAATATTCATATAGGATATAAAAAAAAACATAGCAACGCCCAGGAGTTACACAAAGTCATCAAACCCGATACACAAGACCTATTTTGAAAAGACCTCCATCAGTTGAAGCATTAAGTTTATATGTAAATCCGGTCATTCCCTAACAAGCCCCGATCGTGGGAATATCCATTAACACTATCGCTGCGTAAACATTTAACAATCCCCTCTTCCCCTCCCCCTACATAGCAACTTCTATCACAACCTGGTTCTGAAAGTGCGCTTTCGATTCTCGGTCAGTGAACGCAGCCGATATCCTCTTTAACCCGGCGGCCATCTGTCGGGAAATTTACAGCCTGAAATAATTATAAACTATTATATGAACGAAAAATAAAATAAATAATTCGGAAGCAGCGTTAATGCTTTTAATTATTTCTGAAAATTAAAGAGTAAAACTATATTCGAACCCTAGGAACAAAAATATAATTATCCACAAAATAAAAAATAATGGCTAGTCAAAAGTGTGAATGTTTCTAAATTTATTAAAAAATTTAGCAGAGATGAGTGGGAAGGGTGGGGCGTCCAAGAGGACAGAATACTTTTTATGATCTCTACTGACCACTTACCCGTTTTTATTCAAGGCGTCATTCCAAAATTCCTATAATCTCCAGTCACAGAAAAATTACCTATAGCCGCATGGGAAGGCCGCGAGGTAGTTTGAAAATGGAATTCATCACCGAGCATTCCGTCATTCTGAATCGGTCTGCGGCTCTCTACTAATATATAAGTCCACCGTCGTTAAAGGGTTAAGAATATGAATGGAAAAATGCAAATCATAAATCATGAGTCTCTACAGGAAAATCTACGGGGGAGAGGGAGGAGGCGCTTTTGGACTCAAGCCAACCCTCTCCCCCCCTCCCAAAAAAGGTTAATTATAACCATGTCTTATGATAAAATATTAAAAAATTATCTCTTAAATTATTATTACTCATGTAATTAAAGTTTTATTCAACTTCAGAATCACCAATTTATACAATTTCATAAAGTTTCTTTCTTTTTTTTCAAAGTAATTTTTTTTATATTTACATAAAAAAAAAAATGTTTTTGGACTCATGCCTCGCCCCCAAAAAATTAAGTCCTGGATCCGTAAGTGATTGTTGGTACCCTATTCTCTTTAACATTTCCTTTGAAAATTCCTTTATTCCATGTTACGTTACGATTTTAATATTTTCTGAAGAGAAAAGTTTCTTTTTAAACTGATCATAATTACAGCTTCTATACTGACATTAATTAAAGCTGAACTGAGATATATTGTCAAAGTTTTCTTGTAATCCATAGAACAAATAATTAAAGAAAAACAAAACATTCAATGGAATCCACGTCATAAGAATCAAAACAAATAGGTGATGCAATTTTTATGACAACGACTTTATCTAAAATCAATTAATGGTTGCATTATGAAAACAATCTTAGAAAAACATGATTCATCTCCACCTCCTACTTGAGCGTTTTATTCAACAACCCACAGTTCTATATAACAAAACCCAGAAAACATCTGTCAAACGACAAAAATAGAATAAGACAACATCCTGTTACATGTAACAGTTGCATCATCGGGAAAACAATAATCAGCTGAAGTAACTAACCTTTGGATATCGGATAAAAGAGCTATATAAATCAACGGCTAAGACAATGGCTACAAGAGATCCGAGTTCTTGTCAAGATAAAATAAAATGGATCACTGCTCTTATTTGATTTTTCCAATCTTCGGGATGGAAATATTAATTGTTCTGTAATGATGGGGTGTATTACATTGACTTTTGATGGTATCTATTGTTTTTGTGGAAATTACCGATCGGATAATTTTTGTTTTCTTCATAACATCTAAGATACGAAAAAGGTAATAGGACCTAACACAATTTTTTTAGGTCTCATTAATTTATTTAAAATAAAAAAAATTGAATTAATACCAATTTTATTTTATTGTTTTCTATTCCTTGATCTTTCTCGTTTCCTAACCCATTGAAACTTTATATGGATATGGAGATACGAGCTAAAAGAGTATATACACTTGATGTTTAGAATCAAAAACTAAAATCATACACATGCTGACAGAATAGAACCCTTCTATCATTAAAACTCCAAAAAGTACACATCAACTTAGGACAGCACATCGCTCTAAGACGTTGAAGCCCTCTATTTTAGAAAATCAAGGTTTTGTGCTTGTTATTATTTTTTTTTTTTTAACTGTCTGTAGTTATTTTAACTTATTTCGAGAAAAATCGTGGTATCACATTCAGTAAAACATAAAATTGGTTTACACATTCAAAGGATCTATAGACAAACAAAATTAAGTAGAAAATAATCACTTTGATAGTATTACTAAAAGCTGTAAACCAAAGGTAATGATATATTTTAAATTAAATTTTAAACTAGATTCGTAAGTATTCGAAAAAAAAGTATCATTTGTAAATTGCAGTTAATATTGGCTAACAGTTGATAGTAGTTTAGATAATCATAATTTTGATAGTAATAATTTATATTTATTATTATTCATTCAATTAATTATATAGTATATAGTATATATTATGAAAAAAATCCTTAATGTAATCAAATAACTTTAAGGATTTAAAAAAAAAAAAAAAATATATATATATATCTCGTTTCAATATTTTGTTAATATAAATTACTAATTCGATATATAGAAAAAATGTCGATTTAGTCGGTAGTAATATTTTGAAGGTTTAAAAGTAGGTAGATAAATATCGATATTTAGCATCTTCATTATTTTTAATCTTTAAAGTACCTAATTGTCGACATCATGAAAGACTAAACACACAAAAGAAAATAAAGAACGTCGGTCGACAAACATACAATCACTATGGATGGCAAAAATATTGTTATCGTTTTTTGGTTGTGAAACTCAAAACCTTTGTAGTATTTTTTAAAATTAAAAAATTCCTTTTGGATATGCAAATTCCCATATTAATAAATATTGATAGATCACTTTCAGTTTTAAATTAAAAGCATGATGATATTTTCGTTCCGCTTTTCTGTTCAGCAATCAACGAGTTAAAACTAAATAAAAAAATCCGCAGAGTAAACTGTCACAACAGCTCAGTTTCATTTGCGACTTATAAGCCGAGAGAGCGGTGAAGCAATCAATAAACTTAATTTTGTGGTATAATTAGTGAAACACATTTTTCCGTTTGGACCCGCTTGTCAATCGGACACCCTAATGACACTTCTATAAATATTCATTTTTTTTTTCATCATCTCCAACTGTCTTATCAATTAAAAACCAGATTCCTGCACGATATGAAACCGTCGGAAATCAGTTCAAGGACCTTGCTTCAGACGTTACGAAATTGTAATTGCTGTTATTAATGTAAGATCGTTAATTGGGTAAGGATGGTGGATGGTGGATGGTGTATTCCCTTAGTGAGGAGGCCTCCGGTAAACATTGACGGTTATTGCCATCCTCAATCATCCCTTCTAATAAGTCTCCTGCTCAGCTTGGTTCTTGGGCGGCCGAAGGTATTACTTTCCCAATGGCTCAGCAATCATAATCCAGACAGGTTGGGCTCTCAAGATGGACGGCACTTGTTCCTATAACCGAGTTGGGTCAGCTGATGTTGTTGGCTAATGGCTGGCGAAGTACCTAATAAGAGCTACATATCTCAAAGCATTTAAAACAACAGCTTCGACAATCATCTTCAAAGCATATTTACATAAAATAAACTGAAATATGAAATTAACAACACAGAGGCCGATAAAATCAGATAGATAATATAGTGCTCCTTATGAGAGAGAATTAGATAATAATTAAAATATATATTTCCTTTATATAATAAAAAAAATGATTATGAATAATAAAATCATGATGAGTATGTAAACAGTATTAAAAAAAGAAATAAATAAATAGAAAGTATTGGTTAGATCACGGATAAAATAGTACACCATAAGCACAGTAATTGAAGATTCCATATTAAAAACAGAGGGGGAGAGGATAAAGTTTCAACAAATTTAATTTCGAGGAACTTTAAAACTTGGAAACAACTGGAAATAACCAGAAACTTTTATGGTTTACTTCCACTTTCAGCTTTTTTTATAAGAAGTGGAGATTACATCTCATAAAAGTCGATGGAACATTAATGGCCACCACTGCAAAGAAATTTAATAGGTGTTCTATATATAAAAAAGTGCAAGCGAAAGGAAAATTATATGTATATATGTATTTCATGTACTAAAACACTTGCTGTAATGGATTTCATATTTTTTACTTTTTTTTTTTTTTACCACTTCCTCGCCTTTTAGGCTATACGGGTTTTTTCTGAGCCAGAGGGTGAGGGTGAGGGATTAATGTAAGAGTTAAAACTACTGGCATCGGGACGCAAACTTGTAACTATTATATGGTTGCCGGGCAACGCGCGGTGCTGTGCCCCCACATTAACTCGCTCGGTCACTCCGCACCTCGTGTTTTTTCTATTGTTCCTCGATCGAATTCTATCAGAATAGAAATTAGAAAAAAAATATGATTGCCTCCAAACTCTATAACTCCGTCAAAATGAGGCCCCTCAAAAATTTAATACTCCGGAAAACAGTACCCCACAAAAATTTTGATGGCGCAACTAGCGCCATGCACTCTTCTTCTGGGCATCCAAGAGAGATATTAATAAAATTTCTTGGAAGTTATGTATGCCCCATCAACTGTAAAGTGGATCGAGCACCCATACAATATAGTAATGGAATTCACAATTAAAATAAAATAAGAATAAACCAGGAAGAGTTATGGTTTTAGGCTGTCAACTAGGCATGGTCTAACGAAATGTAGGAATCGGAAATAAAAGAAAGATTTTGAATAATGAGTTTTGATTCTTTATAATATAGTTTATAGAGTCACTATTTGCTGGAGGAAAAAATTCAGTTTAAAGACTAAAGCTTGGGCTTTTGGGGATATAGGAATAGGTTCATGAAAAAATAAAAAAAAACAATAAATAAACCGAAATAAATACGAGTTGTTGGTAATCCATTAAACACTTAACTCGTTAACTAAAAACTATAACCAAGTTAAGAATACCAAACAAACTTGGTAAACAAATATATTTTTTTTTTGTTTACTACATCCATTTGTGACTCCAATCCATTCTAAATCGTACCAATGCCTTTTTCTGGATTGGAACGTGTTTCTGCTGCTCTAGTGACTCCAGATAGAACCAGTCAGATACGACCCTAAGTTTTCTCCTTCCTGGAAACCTTATGAAGCTTATATACTTGACCACATTCCAAGTGGCCGGCTTAAAACTAGAAAAAGGTGCGGATTCGGAGTTTATAGTTGTTTATATTATTACATACCGGTATATATATATATATATATATATATATATATATATATATATATTATATAGCGAATAGTAGTTTTTTAAATTTTAAATTATTTATTTCAATAATAAATCTATTCTTAAAAATAAAATTTCATTAATTAATAGTATCTATCGAGATTCACCATATGCACAAAACACATATGGCTTACTAAAACATTCTCATCTTATATAAATCATCTCATAAATACTAAAAAAAAAATCACGGTTATAATTTAAATCATTTATTTACATGAATATGGTTCATTAATTACACAGAGATAAAGAAATAATACAATGAATAATGTTTCGAAAATCTCTTTGCCAACTTACAACTTACACTTAATGCTCAAATTTGTCTAAAAAAGTTAGTCAGAATTTAAATTAATTGGTCTTATGAAGTTTTGGTTTTTAATTTTCAGCTGGTGTGCAAAATCATAATAAAATGCACGGATTTCCCTAATTTACTGGAATTTCCGTGATATCTTCTCAAAATAAATTTTAAGAAATAAACAATTCGAGATTCCCTTCACAAAAAAACACACCGTTGGTTTGCAAAAAGTCATCAAGCGATTGTTCATAACCTTAAGCAATAAAAAATTTTGAATAATTTTTCCTTCATGAAATCTGAAAATTTTGAAAAAGTATTTCTGAATCGATCAACAAAGTGAAAATTCATAAACATATTTTTAAAAATTGATGAATAGAGTTGTATACTTTATTTTTGTACTATTAATTATTTATTAATAATAGATAAATTAATTAATTTATTGTTGTTGTTTCAGTAAAAAATTAATATACACAATATAGTTTAAGGTACGAATCTTAATTTATTTTAGAGATTTCTCAATAATTCTTGATAAATTCTTCAAACCTCAAGTTTTATTAATTGTCAACTCGTAAGGACGTTAACAAGGTAATGTAGATAGAGCAATTTAATGAAAACGAAAGTTTAAATTCTACTGCCGTAACGAGCTATGGGAAACTGTAAATACATAGAACCTTAATTAAAAAAAAAAAAATAACCCCGTTCTGTTTGTACATTTTATTAAGACACTCAGTTATCGACATAATTTGAAATTAATGCTGGGACACTAAGGAATGAAGTACAAATATTCTACAAGGGAACTGTGAATTTCAGATAACTATTTTACTCAATCTTGGTTAGGTAATTTTTCAGAAGAAGCCTAGTTTGAATCTTGGGACGAATTATACGTTATGATCGCATGGTTAAATGGTTGTTAAATTTAGTTTATTCAAAGTTTCCGAAGACATTTTTTCTATATGAGGTCAACTGAAAGTTTCGAAATCTATACATATAACTTATAGTATTGAAATATTGTTTTAGCGAATTTTTAAATTGCGAAGGTCAAGACAATTTTTAAGCAATTCTTCGGTACATAAAAGAAAAAAGGAAAATAAATATGAAACTATTAGAAATTAGCTAATCCCCTCACGAATGTCCGAACAATGCGAGCTATTTCTAAGTGATCTCCGAGTGCATAACATCCGACTCTTGAGTATCCGACATTTGCATCTGAGAGAGTCTCATCTGCGGAGAAAAAGAACTGAAACCGCACATGTTTTGAATCATTCATGCCTTGGAGTAAATATGTTTTTCAAATCTTCGCAAGCGACGTCTTTAAGCAGAACTATTGAATTTAAAATAGCTCAGAAATACATCAACAGGCTTGTTTTAATAATTTATATTCAATATATGCTCTAATATAATATAATGGTTTTATTCATATATACTGGGTTCGTTATCATTTTCATAAGTCTAGAATTCATAAATTCAAATGAAGCGTTATTTATTGATATAAATTGTTCTTTATGAGAAATATATTAAGCTAGTTTGGTCTAAACATATAAAATTAAGTCTAACATTTTTAGAATGTTATACTATATGTAATTAAACGAAATATCATAAATAAAATTTAAAAAAAATTCAGGATACATTAATTGAGTCGCTTATTTTTAAAGTGAAACTTTAATACTTATCTAGATTTTTTGGAAGATTGAGATGAGTATTAAAGTACCCAATGAATTCGATGGTACGATATATTTTTTTTTTCAAAACCGAACATAAATATTTAAAATAAAAGTATTGTGAAACTAGGTTTATTTTCGTTTTTTTTTTTTTTTTTAAGAATGTAATAACGCTGGAATTTTTAAAGCATTGCAGGAAATTAATTCATCAATAGATTTTTTTAACCGTTTTATTCCAAGGGAAATTGAAAATAAATTTATCTTAATGTTATATTAATAATCTATCTATCTGTCATACAAAATTTCGTTAATCTAGTTAGCATGTACTTGACGCAAACACCCAATAAAGTTATAATCGGTTGTTATGTATCCGATTATGTATCCGACATAATCGACATATGTAGATATGTATCCGAGAAATTTGAGGTTCGTTCGGGCTTAAAACAATGCGATTCTCTTTCACCTGCCCTATTAATTTTGACGTTAGAACATGCCATTAGATAAGTGATACATATCGAAATAGGTTTGAACCTGGGTAGAATGATATCCGTACGCTGATTGTTTCTTACTGTTAAGCAAAGACATTGAAACAAAGAAACTAAATACAACCTTGATAAGAGCCGGTAAAGAACTAGGATTAAAGATAAATACGGATAAGACAAAATATATTGTTAGCTACAAAAACAGCGACAATTTCCAAGATATCGATATAGAAAAGAACACGTACAGAATTGTATATATCTAGGGTCAACGATAACTAGAAAAACCAAAATTGAAGAGGATATTAAGGTTAGGCTGAATGAGGGAAATGCTTGTTATTTTTCTTTGTCAAAATTACTCAACTCCTGTCCCGAAACCTAAAAATTAGAATTTACAAAACCATTATTCTTCTTACGCTTATGTATGGATTCAAAATGTGGCCGCTTACATTAAGGGATGAGCAACGTCTTAAGTTTTTTTTTTAAAATAAAGTATTGCGCAGAATTTAGACGGTTACACAACGCTGAAGTGTATCCGGTTAATATAATTGAGATAATTAAGTCGAGGCGAATTAAATGGGCATGTAAAATCACTGGGCTTAGTAATGAAAGAATTATTAAAAAGCAAATATGCAAACTACCGACTGGCAAGCGTCCGAGAGGTAGACCAAAGTGAAGGTAAGAAGATTGCGTTAAGGCTGATCTGGCG